CAAAATATCATTAATATTAAAATCCAATGACTTTTCGTTAACCATTGAATCCATAATTCAATGCAAAACTAATTCACAATTAATTTAAATAAAAATTGAGTCCAAAAACTAAACAACAATTAAATCACAAAAATGTAAACAAAAACACAACATATGGGAAGTGAAGGGAATGTCTGTTACAATAATTACGCAAACATTTACCGTTACTTTTCATTGAAAAGTTTTCAATGCAATCAAAGTTAAATTTACATAAATTGTAATCATTTTAATTATTTAAAAATCTATTTTCAAAATAAAATCAATTCAATACAAGTTTAAAATAAAATTTTAATTAATTATAATTTAATTTTCTGTATTAAACACTATTATGAATGGTCTGAATGTCAAGAATCTCCATAAGAAGTGGTCCGCAAACTTCGGGCGAAACTTTACTTAAGTTTTGTTTATGCAATTCATTCATCATTAATAATTAATTTAATATTAAACCCAAATGAAAATATACAAGCATAATATATTTACATTAATTGAATTCAATCATTTTTTCAAATTTCTATAAACTATTATTAACTAAACATTTTATATAACTTTTAAACGATTTGTTAATTATTAACAAAAAAATATATTTAAAATATAAACATGATTAAAATTAATTAAATTACAATATTTTATAACATAATTAAATAAATTTAGGCCACATTATTGTAATCCTAATGACTTAAGCATTGAATTTTAGGTGACAAAACCCAGTCTTATAGGCACTATAAAAGTTACTTAAAAATGACTAAAAAGTTGCTAAAAAAGGTGATTAAAAGTTATTTAACTTCAATTCAATGCTTTACTAATGACTACAAGCGTATGATGTGTTGGGAGCGGTGCATCACAGGTGCCGATCGACATGAAATTTGTCTAAACATACTTTCAACCAACACGACTTGCATCGGGTCGAACCGTTACGCTCGCCTCCCAGTGGACAGTCGCCTGTGAATAGACAATAGGTGTGAATACTTCGTGGAGAGAGAGAGAGAGAGAGAGAGAGAGAGAGAGAGA